GGGGGGTCTTTAAGTACTGTATCAATTTCTTCTATGGATGATGAGTCCCAGGGTGCACTGAAGCGCACTGGTTCTCCAGGAAGAGAGAGTAGTCAGGCTAAGAAGCGGCTGCCTCAATTACCCTAATGGCAGTTCCCACTCCGTTACAAGTGGCAACCATTAATGTTGCTAGCTTAAGATCAGTGAGCGCTCGTCACATGGCCTTATTTTTGCTCAGCGAGTTTGATGCTGACATTTTGTTTTTGCAAGAGACCCATCTGAGTAGTTTGGCCGATATACATCTGGCAAAGAAGGAGTGGAGATGCGGTCCCTCCTTTTGGTCTCTTGCGGCCGAGCCTTACAGCGGGGTTGCAGTCCTTTTTTCTGGTACGGTAACGTGCCGACGGGTAATTGAGGTAGAGATTGGGAGATGCATGGTCTTGGACGTCTCTGTGAGGGGGCAGGACCTGCGCCTGATTAACATCTATGGTCCCCAGACGAAATGGGACAGGAAATGCCTCTTTACAAAGATTAAGCCTTAAAGTGTTCCCAGTCCCTATCCCGGGATATCGTTTTAGGATACTGCAACGTCAACTGTTTCAATTCATTTGGCCCCATGGCCGTCCCCGTATATCACGACAAATACTTTACTCGCTCAAACTCAAGGGTGGCCTGGGGGTCCCACATATTTCTAACTATTACATGGCAGCACAACTTGCTCCACTGACTAGGTACCCTACTACCCTCGACCCTCCGCTCTGGGTATCGCTGGAAGCTGTTGACTGCTCCCCGCTCGCTGTGAACAACCTCTTGTGGCTTCTTCCTAAAGACAGGGTGCATCTGACTAACCCCATTACAGCTCACTCCATGCGCCTATGGGATGCCCATAAATACTCGGCACATCTACTGTCCCCCCACCGCCCGCTGCTGTTCCTAGGGAATCCCTCCTTCCCCCCTGGCTGCGACTCCCCTGCTGCGTTCCAACAGTGGATGTCGAGCGGCATAACATGTATCTCTAAATTATACACGTCCGCTGTTCCCAAGACATTCCAACAATTGCGACCTCCCGGCGACGGAACGTTTCTGTTACCTCGAAGTCAAACATTTCTTGTCCTCCCAAGTCCCCGTATTCCCTACTTTTACCTTTTTTGAAAGGGCCTGCCATGAGGACCCATACACCCCTGGCTTGATCTCTTCCATATATGACTGCCTACTATCAAGTTTCACCACTCACCAACATGTCTATATGTCTGCATGGGAGCGAGATCTCGGTTGCCCCATTGACGAAGCCAGCTGGCAATCCATCTGGGAAACAACCAAATCCAGCTCTCAGAGGGTGCAAGCGTTGGAAATCAATTATAAATTGCTCTACCGCTGGTATCTTGTGCCTGAGCGCCTGCACACATTTGCTCCAGGACAAACGGGAGAGTGCTTCCGGGATTGCGGAGAAGTGGGATCCTATATCCACATATGGTGGTCTTGCCCGATGGTACAGGCCTTCTGGACCCGCGTGTTGGATTTTGTATCCAACCTGCTGGATACAACACTGCCGTCAGACCCGAAGGTGATTTTACTTAACCTTGTTAAAATCTGTCCCGTACTCAACACAGGTTCCTGGTGCATGGTGTCACGGCAGTAAGTCTTCTCTTCTTCATCCTTCTTGGTCTCTTAACCCTTTCCTGCTCTCTTCTCCTCTCTCTCTTTTACTGTTTCCTTACAGTTGCCACCCCTTGGGCTTAATTTACATTTGTTTTGTAGATGTTCTTTATGTCAGCCATCAATGTGTGGGATCGTCACGGAAACAACGAATTTACAGGGAGTTGCCCCCTTCCATAGGGCATGTTGCCCTACTATGTGACGATCCACATCATCTGTATGTCATCACTTGCACATTACATCTATGTGCTATACTACCCATGCGCTAGTGATATTTTATGTAACACTACCATACTGCTTGCTATGCTCTTTTGTTGATACTCCTCCATAAGTGTTTTATGCTGTAAAACAATAAAAACTTTTGATTTAAAAAAACAAAACACTGCTTTGTTGTGACAGCTGGTGTGAGGGGGGAGGAGCGGTCTGATGCCCCTGCGTGTGAGGCTGCTGGGTCCTGGTGCTGGAGAGTTCTGAGGTGAGCATATCACACAAAGGCAGCAAAAAGGTCCAAAAGTATGAGTATAGAGTAGTGGCCATTGATTTGAGCAGTTAGTAGATCATTAGTAAGTTTTAGAAGGGCAGTTTCTGTGGATTGTTGCGGACAAAAGCCTGGATTGAATCAGGTCAAGGAGGTTGTTAACGATAAGGTGGTGACTCAGGCTGTTGTAGACCAGCCATTCAAGAAGTTTGAAGATAAATGGGAGCAATGAGATGGGTCTTAAATGCCAAAATTATAACCAAGACTTGGCAGGTAACCATTAGCTCAAAATCCACAATATAATAAAAAAGTACTTATTTAATAGTTCAGCTGATGATAACATAGCCTATTATTTACTAAGCAGGATTAACATAATATATTTAAACTATCAGTCCAATCACAATAAAGTTACTACCAACTATATGCAACAGTGTATTATGTTTACCAGTCCCTTTTACTCGCACTTACATTTTGGAGGCTCCCTTATAGGTGTGAGAGGTCAGTTTCTTAGGTGCAGTCTCTTTAACTTTCAGGCTGTAGTTCCAGCACATTCAATCCAGCAGGTGTCCTGTTAGTCCAGCAGCTGCAGTCAACTCAACAGCTGTCTACCTTCTCTCTGATGTGATCCCTCGCTGCTGGAATGTTCTTTCCCTGTGTTGCCGCCTCTCAGCACAATGAATACAGCTGTGTCCTGGTATCTGGTGTTACAGTCACTCCTTTTTTGTCTGCTCATTTTCTCTCTTTTTCCCTTCTCTGCCTGCAATCTCTGGCCTCCTGCAGCTCTCCTGCCCAAATGTCATAAGCATCTAACTCTTTATTCTTGAGTGTGCTGTGTATAAAGAGGTCCCATAATGATTTTGGCCTTCTATATAATAGTATAGCATAATAATTGTTTAAAACAACTATGTCTCCCTCAGGCTGTGGCAGGCTCTTTGATGGTAAGTCTTCTGAATAGTCTTTTAATAAACTGCCCAGCTTTCATAATCATTATTCCCACATCCAAGAGTGAGACAGGTCTATTGTCACTACTGAACATGAACTGCCACCTCATTTGATTTTGTCCCAGGTAATTAAGTCATTAACTGCTGACTCATCTACAGTATCAGGACACAATTCTCAACATATACAGTACATCAATGTATTTTCATTACCAAAAACCTGAAGTGTACATTAATCCAAATACAAATTGGCATTGCGTCGCACCCCCTCCTAACATTACAAAAAAGGACAAGCAAGTAGAAATGTTAACCCTTAAAAAACAAAGAAACTCTGACCCTAGTTAAAGCAATTTAAACTGCAAGAAGTATTTTTTTAGCATATGCTATGAAAGATGGAAATGAAAGGCTATGAAAGATGGAATGTGTAACAAATATAAAACAGGCGTTATCCTAATTTGGCTGTGAAAAGTGGAAATACACATTAATGCTACACGCATTACAGTGGGACACAACATACATTAGTGCAATACTGTGTGAATGGGCCCTGAAAGCAGAAAAAAAGTGGAGTTATGTTTCTATTTAAACATCTCTCCTTTATAAACCCCGTTTTAAATACTTAATTAGCCATCAATAATTTCATCCTCTTTCTGCTTATCTAACCTTTTTTTTCTTTCTTCTATTACTTTTTTTTTTTTTATATACTTCCTCAATTTTGTTTGTTACTTTTTGTAGTGTGAAAAACACATACACAAAATGTAAATAAAGCCTTTATTTTCTTTCAAACTAACGTTGCCAGGCTTTGAGCTAGAAACATTATTTTGGTGTCCAAATAAACAAAACGCATTGCAAAATTTATTGGGGATCTTTATATCTACAGTATTACTTGTTATTTTTACATGATTTTGCCCATGATTACTTTTTTGCCTTTTAAAATGTTGAAAATGAGATACATTTTTAACGAAAATACTGCCAAAAGAACGCCCTAATTATCCCCCCCCCAAAAAAAATGCCCCACTTCGGTGTAGTATGTAGTAAGTAGTAGTGAATTAATAAGCCTATAACTAAAAAGTGTAAATGGCTCTAGAGCCAAACTGATAAAGTAAGCCCACAGAGTATTGTTTTTTTTCTGGAATTGCTGTGTGGTTATGAAATCTGGCCAGTTTAAATGAAGACAGTATACTGAATTTTTTACATGCAGTAAAAATGTCACATGCAGTTTAACATAATAGTTTTTCCCATGGTGTTTGATTTAACAGAACATGAAAGAGAAGCTACACTCTTGATATTTCATAAAGATGTGACAGTAACTACATGTTGTATTGAACTGTTTATGCTGTAGTACAAAACAGAGGATTCCACTCTGATCACCTCTGGAGTGTGACACAACACTGTGTCGCAACCTGGAAGTGCACAGAACCACATCAGCATCCCTTGAGCAATGAAAATGTAATTTCATGTGAGTAATGATTGAGGTCTTCAAATATTTGTTTGTGACCAGAACTTCTTTTTTTCAACCATATACTAAAAACAACTGGTGACATTGCATGGACTGCTACGTTTCTGGAAATTACTTACTTTATGTTTATGTAGAAAACAGTTTATTTTTCCAATTTCAAATTGTCACTATTTATAAGTTTTTTTTTCACAAAAGACACACAAAAGTTTTGAATTTAAAGCAATTGGAAAATTTTGTGAATCATGTGTGAAAGTTGTGTGAATCTTTGATGACAAATGTAGAGATAGTGTTTTGTTATTTAAAAAGAAATAGTTTTCAGCATTTTCCATGGAATAACATAAAAAGAGAAATGTCTGTTAAAATATGTTACCAAAATATACCCTTGTATGTAAACAAACAGATGGTTCTTTCTCTCTTCCAGATCACTGAGAAATCTGCTTGATTCTGAGATGGAACATTCTTCCATACTCAGGCTAGAAATTGATAACCTGAGAAGGAAAGTGGCAGAACAGGAGGAGCGACAAGCAGCAAAAATCCAAGCCCTGGCAAGGTAGGTTACTTCTGTCACAAAACAGTTCCAGCACATTTCAAGAGTCTTTCTTGAAATGTGTCTCTGACTAAACTGCTTAAGTTTCAACCACTAAATTGCAAAAAATATTTTTTATCATTGTTATCTTGGTATTAGGCCTAAATTTTACTCCGTTTTCTTGACATTTTTTCTTTGTGGAATCGCAAGAGGTGAAACTGTGTTATGCATTTTACATTTGTTTTACTCATTATTGTACTTTTGGAATTTTTTATTTGGCTAATTATTTGTTATTTTCTATTTAGCTTCACTAAAAGCACGTAGATTTGGTACATGCCTTTAAGACGCACGTAATATGTAATGGGATCACCAATTTCTGTTTTTCCAAGATCACCTACCAACTGTAATTTTCACACTGCTAGTTTGAGAAAAAAAAATGAAAGAAGCTGACTGGTTGTCATTGGCAACATGGGCGGACATTTATCAAAACTGGGGCAGACAAAATCTGGAGCAGCTGTGCATGGCAATCAATCAGCTTCTCTCTTTCATTTTAAAATCTTAACCGCACAAATTGAAGAGAGAAGCAGATTGGTTGCCATGGGTATCTGCTCCAGATTCTGTCTGCTCCAGTTTTGATAAATTCCACCCATGATGTTTTACATGTAGCATGATGTACATGATGTTTTTTTTCCTAAAGGAACTTGTTATTTAGTATAGTGGACTATCTTAGGGCTGCAACAACTAATCGATTAAATCAATAATTGATTATGAGAATAGTTGGCAACTAGAGAGAGAGAAATAGAAACAGAGAAAGAGAGATTTTTCAAATGCAACCATTCGTTTAGTTGAAAAAATAAGCGGGCAACTAATCGACTATAAAAATAATTGTTAGCTGCAGCCCTAGACTCCACCTATCAGCACATATAGTCTGCTTTCTGTAGCTATATTCACTGCTGTCTCAGGGTAAACATGTATATTTGTAAAAAAAAAAGGGTTTCACAACCTGGGTTGTAGTGGGGCTTTAAAGAGGCGTCAGATGGTAATCGATTTGATATAAATTTTAGGGCTGGTAATGATTAAAAAGTTCCTGTTCGATTAATCGAAATTTTTTAAATCGATTAATCGATTAATTTCGATTAATTATAACGCACATACAGATCCAACTACATTGGCCTATACACATACAGCACAGCAATGAAGTAATAAAATGAACTAGTATCACACTAATCCAGCATGTTATTAATCTCACGTGCCCCACTCAATATGGCCGCCGCTTTAGTGGGGCAACTCAGAATAATAACGTGCTGGATTAGTGTGATCCTAGTTCATTTTATTACTTAATTAATTGCTGTGCTGTATGTGTATAGGTCAATGCCAGGGATCCCAACCTGAAATAAGCAATTTCAGGGAGGTGTCCCTCTGTTTCAGGGGGGTGCCCTCCCCCCCCCATCTGCGGAGGGAGGGTTAGGGGGGGCTGGGAGAGAGCACCCCCCTGAAATGATGGCAGATCGCACAGGAAGCAATAGCTTCTTTGCCATCTGCTGAATTTTTTTACATTTTTTTTTAGTATTCTGCCAGTTGCAGCTGTCAGAATAATAAAAAAAGGCATAAGAATGCATAGCTAGATTCCTATTGGCTATTTCACTTTGCAATAGCCTATAGCAAACTAGCTATTGCACCCGCCCCCTACTGCTTTCAATCACCAGAAGATAGAAAAAAAATCAGGTCCCCCTCTGCTGATTGACAGCAGCAGTGGGTGGGTGCATTAGCTAGCTTGCTATTGGCTATTGCAAAGTGCAATAGCCAATAGGAATCTAGCTATGCAATCGTATGCCTTTTTTTTCTTTTCTGACTGACGGTCAGGCCGCCGCTCCCGATGTCAGAAAAGGAAAAAAAACGATCGCAGGGAAAGGTTTAATCTGCTCGATTGAGCAGATTAAACCTTTCCGGTAAAAAGAGAGAGCAGATTGAACCACTCTCCCGGGCGGCCGGGAGAGTTAGGCTGTGTACTCCATCGGGTAACGAAGGAAAGGGGAGGAGTCCAGTGACGTCACGGACATCAACGTCACCGGATTCCACCCCCCTTCCCTTCGTTAGCCGACAGAGCCACTTGTGAAAGGGGGGAGGAGTCCGGTGACGTCGCGGACATCGACGGAAGACCCGGAAGCCGGTGGAGAGGTGAGTATGACTTTGATCGATCAAAATAATTTTGATCGATCAAAAAAATTAACGATTAATCGGAGGATTAATCGTTAATTTCCGCAGCCCTAATAAATTTATTACAATTAATTAAAAGAAATCTTTTATTATTAGTTTTGCACATTCTTTCAACCTCCCTACAGACTGTAAGTTCCACCTTCTGTATCTTTCCCTTCTACCGAAGAAAAAGTCAGAAATTACATCTTCTCTATCTTCTTTATATCACCTGTTCCACCTTCTTATTTTATTCCCTATTAGAGTGTAAGAGCTTCCATCATCTGTATTTCCCATTATCCTCTATAGACCATAAGCTCTTTTACCGTCTTTATTTCTCCCTTACTCCCTGATTAGATTGTAAGCTCTTTAAGATTTTGTATCCTCTCTGATACCCTAATAGATTGTACATTTTTTCTGCCTTCTGCAGCTTATCTTATAACCTATTAGACTGTAACCTTCTGTATCTTACCTTATATCCTATTAGATTGTAAACTTGTCTGTATCCCTTCTTATACCCTATTAGATTGTAAGCTCTTCCACCATCTACATCCTCCATTATACTAACTAGGTTCTTCTACATGCCACTATCTATCTGCTACACACGTCACATACGTGGTCATGCAATGTGCCACAATCCTAATAACCTTACCACTTTTTCATTTTTGATCAAGCAATATCATCCAACCTGGACTGAAACCAGTTGGCAGGTACCTACACACACAACCAATTAAAAGCAGATCAGTTGAACATTCAGACCAGTAGCCCTTTTTTTAAATTATCCATGTTAAAATTGGGGTTGACAGCCACAGTCAGAGAGTTGTTCAAAGCAGCATTTGGGATCAGTTACATTCTGTATAGAAAAAATTGATCATAAACAGATAGTGCCTCTTCGTTGAAATCTGTGTGTCCCAACTACAAAGTATTTGCAACACACATTCCAAGATTGTAGACTAATATAATCCTACACATTGTGGGTAATAACCACAATGTGTAGGCAACCCAAATGAAGCATGGTGAGTCAGTGCCCAGTACTAAGCATTTGCATACAATACATTGTTGTTGTATATTTCATATTATCATGCACAATTTCTAAGGATATAAATTGATGGCCAGAGAGAGTTAAATTGCATTGGTGACTAGACATAGTATTATAGTATTTACTAGGGATGCACCGATACCAGTTCAGATACCAGTGCCGATACTTGCCATTTCCATAAGAACTACCAGGGTTGCAGCGGTTGCAGCTGGGACCTAGCTCTGGCGCTCCACCACTGTCCTGAAATCATTAGTCAATATTGTTTTAGAAAAACTGTCACATAAAAAACAAAAAAGTATCCGTACTTGTGTCTGTAAGTACTTGGGCAAGTATCAGTACTTGTACTTGCAAAAATGGTATTGGTGCATCACTTTATATATGTTTATAAAAACAAAATCATACATTAAAACAGAGATATACAAATCCCAGGAGCTCCATGTGCTCCTTACAAATGACAGCTGCCTCCAAACTTTAGAATTTTTCTCTAGTCTAGTTTTGGAGCTTGAGAAGAATCTGTACTTGTACTTGTACCGAGTACGGTACTTGGTATCGGTGCATCCCTAGTATTTACATATATTTTTTAAATGCAGTTTGACCTCTCTTTCTTCTTGTAATGTGAAGTATTTAATTCTCAAAGATCCTCAAAAGATCAAAACAAGGACTCCAAAGTTGGCTTTGACTCAGCTTAGAAGCACCTGCTGCTTTTTACATTAGAGGTCTGGCAGGCTAACAAAATGATGGTGCAATAGAACATAGCTGAGATTTCACTGCCTCTGTTGTGAACTTTGAAGACCAATTTTTACTTAATGCCTATAGCTATACAGTTGAATTTTTTAAAGTGCTTTTACTGCTCTTTCAAACTTAGTGAATACTTTAGTGTGTATGTAGAGCCAACCTACAACGTTTAACACTTTAGCAATTTAGAATGCAGTCAAAAATGTGTTGCAGCATATATCATCCAACAGTTCTTTTCCAAATTTGCAGGCAAATATAAGAGGTCCAGACAAGTAAAAGCTTATGGCTCTACTACTATGAACTACTTATTGACTCGTCATTTTGCGTTGCTGTTTCAGCCAGTCTGTTGCATCATGCAGCGAGGTTAAAGAATGTGCCTCCAACACAAATGTGCTAGGCCTTTCTTTCTTAATTGCTTCTTAATCTCTATTAATGACACCATTTAGGCTTTGTTTCTTAGTATCTATTAATGACACCATTTGTTTCTAGAGTTTGACTAAAAAAGTCCAGGGATATAGACTCTATAGTACTCTCTAAATCAAAATTCTAAATTGTACTAGACAGGCAAAGTATTTTGTTTTGTTTTGGTCCTTACTGTTCAAAGGTCATGAAAGTATCAAGGACTGGTTTCTTTTTTTTATTGCAGGCTCTTTTTCCTTTATTTTCACTAAGTGACAACATAGTCATGGCCAAAAATATTGGCACCCGTGCATTTCTGTCAGATAAATGCGCAGAAAATTGTTGCCATTACAAATGTTTAGTCATTCTCATGTTTATTTCTTTTGTCTGTATTGATATGACACAAAAAAGTTCAGAAAAAAAAGCCAAACCTGACATTTCCACGCACAACTCCAAAAATGGACTGGACAAAATTATTGGCACCTTCAGTTAATATTTGGTAGCAGAGCCTTGAAAAAAAATAACTGAAATCAATCGCTTCCTGTAACCATCAATGAGTTTTGAATTTACAGGAATTTTGTAGTACTCTTCTTTCGCCAACTGCTCCAGGTATCCTTTT